GATGTCATATCTAATTAATCATTAGAGATATAAAATTGTTTTCCAATCTTAGATTTATTTGCCAAGATGTCTATGGTTAATTAGTTGTAATTAAGGTAAGAAATTTAGGCTTATCAAAATTTATTGTTACATAACATAAGTATAATCACGAATAAATGATGTCGCTTACAATAATATGTTTTTTGTTCATTATATTTGTATATTATATACTAGCAATCGGTCCCCGGTACCCACGGATGCATTACAAATATTGAATTTCTTAGCTTATTCTATACCATAACACGCATGTGTTATACATATTAACCTTTCTCTTGAATCACGCTGTCCGTTGCTGAAAACTGCATTATAGTCCGTCGCGTAATTTAAAAGATATAAGACAGCGGCGGCGCTTTTGTTTTATACTATGTAAAGATATATTTTATACATTTTAGTCTTGATTTAATTTATATCATCCAATATTAATTACTATTAATTAGTAATGTTTACAATGTCGCGTGTTAGATGTTGTACTACACTATCCTATTAACGAATTAAGATCGGCTCAGCAGTTTCCTCTCCAAGACTTCTGTATACAGCCGTGGTATACAATAGAATATACGTACTCATATAATAATAATAACCCAAAAGTAAAAAAAAAGCCATCTAGTCTCAAGCTAAGCAGAGCTTGTTTTATGGCTACTACGCAACTGACATAAATACTAAAATATATTTTTTATTAATATATACATAATATACTTAACAAACACCCAGACCAAACCGAACAGTCATACTCATGAATAAAGTGTTTGCACTGTGCGAGATATTGAACCCGCGACTGTCGGAAGTAAGCCAGTGTGCTAAACCGCTAGACCATCGAGGGCGTCGTATATTACGTACTCGTTTGTGGTGGTCAGGTGTTTTATGCAAATATTTAAAAGCGATAAAATAATATGTGATTATGACAATTATGTATAAAGTATCATACTGGCTTATTATCTTTACAACTGGATTAGTAAAAATAACATTAAAAACTTATTTAAAATTCTTATGCGTTTTATAATTATGTCTATCGGTCTTCAAGCCAGTTAGACAGAAGGAATCTAGTGTCATAGCCATCTATGAGTTGTGTAAGATAAAATAAGAAGTGTCTTCTGATCTTAAATGTTAGTTTCAAAGACTTTTGATCGCTCAGTTCATAGTTAGTTAGTTTCGGTAACGATATATTTCTATTTTTGCACTGTATTTTTTCTATGTAATTGGAATTACTTATCAGCTGTGGACCCCTATATACATGAATATCATTACGGGCATCGTGTTATCATAATACTGGCCTGAAGTACTCATGCGTTGCCGTTCTAAAAATAACTAAGATGTGCTGTTTTTCGGGCCTTTTTTTTCTTTATTTCTACTGCCATCCTTAAACCGAAAACATCTTACAAAGAAAGTACTTGGCGAACAAAGTAAATAAGACAGAAATATAATAAAGACACAGACAAACAAATTTTTATTGTCTACTTGGGAAAAATATCTGTAATATCAAATTTTCGTTAAACCTTTTTTTCATGTACTGAACATATAGACAGGATACTTCTAATTATGCCAAATAGCCATTTTAAACAAATATCATTAAGATACGTAAACAGTATATTGGAGAAAATATTTACGAATACTCATTAAACATATTTTCTGGTCAATAAATTGAAGAAGTGCTAACAGTAAATTTAAAAAAATCTAGAAGCAGCTATTTTGTTCGATTGTTTTAATACCTTGATCAAAACAGTTATGATTAACGGATCGGACCGAAATTCCAAAATTTCGTTTACTTTTGACATTTCACTGTTATACTAGAACCAATAACTTAAAATATTTATTGCAGCTGTATGTATGGAAATTACGTAAGGAATATTGTTATTGATGAAAACAAATTACTTGTCTTCATTGTGAAATATTAGATATTTTCATGGGTATTTCTAAAAATGTTTCATAGTGAATATGGAAAGTGTAGATCAGTTATGAAATGCCATCTTCAGTTGCTATAATTTCGTTTCTACATTCTTTATTCATAGAGCTAAGTTTTTTTTATGTCAGAAACAATTATTTCACTTATATTAATATTAAAATTAAATACCACAGCATGTTGTATCTCAATTATATTTTTTTTTATTTTAAATATTTTTTTTAATTGTTGAAAGGTAATAATCATGTAGATATATTTTAAAGCTAGTCAGGACATGTAAATTGCATCTGTTTGAAATACTTCACTCCACATTAAGTGAGTTCACTTTCACTCGTACATCCTAGTCTCATCACCAATACTACGTGAGGCTCATGATGATGACGGCATAGTGGCCCACTGCCATGTTCGTACACGGTCACACGAGTCTTTGCTATTGTTGGATTCGTTACACTTTTGTTTTGCTTTCAGTCTATTGTTTAGTTTAAAATATGATTATTTTATGGTGTGATATGGTTTGTGGCACGCATATAATAAAATTTAATTGCATTAAAGATTATTTTGTAAACAAATCACGTTTTCTTTATTTACGACGAATATAATTGTGATATTGGATTTTCGACAAAAGCAAATTTATATTAGTTAATTGCAGGTAATATGTCTTCTAGCGATGTAAACGAGCTTTGTTAATAAAACATTATTTATATATATGTGTATATCTATAGAATATGAAAATATAAATGAAAAAAACAGACTATAAGAACTTATTGACATATCGCTATTATGTTATATCTGATCTTTCTTATCAGTAAATATATAACGAAACGGAGGTTTAAACATAAGCAGAAGAATGGAATTAATTTATATTTTGTCAATATGCAATTACCTTAAGGGTTTTTAGACAGCTTTATACTTAACTATGAGTTAGCTCAAAAATGAAATGTAATATTTAAAAGCACAAAATATATCTATATTAAGTTGAAATTAAATTGCTTTCATCACAATATTGTTTATATTGAAAGTATCAGAAATTTGGTATATCGTATACCAATATCAATTGGCAACAGTTCAATAAATGTCAAACTCAAAGTTCAAGTGAACAATAGTCAGACATAAGTTCTTGTTAAGTGTCGAAATGGAGCGAGAGATTAGCACTAATTACTCGATAGGAGTACTGAAATCTGGTAACATTTTCGGTAAATATCGGGAGTTTTTTAATGATTAGAACAGAACAGAATAGAATAAAATAGAAAATCATTTATTCAAATAACCTTACATTGAAGCACTTTTGAATGACATTCATATAGTAAATATCCGCTTAGTATAATGTGTAAAATTCTATAAGTTTGCTATGAATCTTTTGAAAAGACTAATAGGTCCAGTCTAATTGTTCTGATAGCATCAAGTCAATTGACCGATCGTGACCGCGTTGTGCCTGTCATTTGATTCAATTACCTTTATTACTGCGTCTTTCAATAATGTCAACTCTATAATTGAAATATTGCGTTAGATCAGAAGTTTATTTCTCAGAAAATATTAATATATAATCTAGGCGTCCGATCTTAACGTTCGTTAAAACTTGCAATTTAATAAATCATAAGTAATTAAGTTTTATAATGGAAATACGTCGGTATGTTGATAGTTATCTAATTTCTGCTATCTTGAACTGATTATTATTAATATTATACTAACCTTGTTTCTACTTTTGCAAGTTATTCAAATATTTCTATTTTCACACCATATATGTTCTGGAGTAGACAAAAAGAACCGATACCTACAGACTTCTCTTCTTAAATACAAGTCTTGCTTCATTTGCATTTATCTCATAGGTACATACATCTCGTATGCGTGTACATACATTCTTCTTCTTTCTTGACTTTCGACAACTACAACAACTGATCAAGATAAGTTGGCCTGGACCAGCTCTTTCTAACACTTTTTTTTTAAATCAATAAATCAAACCGTTTTTTTAATAATTACCAAATTGGGACACAACAGTTTTTTTCTTTTAGTGATTTATAGTTATAATTTTTCTTTTAGTGATTAAAAGTTATAATTTTTATTTTATTACTGTGATAGTAAATAGGTAGTTTTGTAATCTCATCCACCTTTCCTATTTCAACTGTTGCATCATTTAAATCAGTAGAAAGAAAGTAAATTGCAAAAGGTTTCGCTTTTCTATTACTGCGTGTTTAAATCTATGCTACTATGTGAGATCATTTCACTCTTGCCGTCGTTTACCGCTACCAAAGATGCGGTACAGTGGCTTCCGTTCATTACATCACATCATGTGTTTCGCGTTCAACTGCATGCAATGTTTTGTATGTCCTTGACTGAGTTTAATTGAAGCAATTGTATGCGGATTAATTTAATTAAAATTCTTGTAATGCATGTCTGATGAATCGAGAATATATATTCGATACTATTGACATTGATTTTACGTATTAATGCATTAATTAATTAATTGGTCTAATAATATTATACCTTTACCTTTTAGTATAATATTATTAGACCAATTAATTATTGAATGCATTACTACTAATTATGTATCGATATTACATGCGCTAAATGTAATGTTAGTAAAAAATAATCTAAAATTATTTTTTTTTATGTTATCTGATTTATTGAATTGATACTATTATACTTGTAATTGTAGTGTATTTTCTTCTGTGAACTCTATATGGATATTACATAGGACGTAAACCCTATGTACTTTTATAAATATTTCATTTTTTATGTCAATTATAAAATTGATACTTATAAAGGTTTGTGACAACGAAGCTTTAAAACAAAATAGCTTTAAACGTTACGTGTAGTATTTAAAGTTTATTGTCAATTGAAGACTTTGCAGGCTTTGCAAGGGTGAAATTATTTTAGAGATCTTTGTATTCTTTATACAGAATTAACCAATACTACTCTGTAATATGTAGCTTTCATAGTATAAATTTATTAAAATTGATATTTTTTTGTCCAGGCAAATAATAGATATATACCATTTGTCCAGTTTATAACACTAGTTTAGATTTGTGTCAAATGATAGTAGTAATAGATTTTTTTTTGTCTCCAGGGCCTTCCGTCGTTTTCGCGCGGTCTGGAGGCGGCCGAGGCAGCACGCTCGCGCCTCGTGCGCTGGGCGTGCGGTGATCCTCCCGAGGAGCCCGACCCTCCTCGCAAGAAGATGCCGCACGCGCTCCGGCGAAGGTGGCCCTTGTGCCCCTGCTTTCAAGTAAGTAATCCTTGTATTTAATAAAATCATTTACTTTGTGATTAGGAGACTGTGTTTATCTTTGTTAAGGTTTCTCGTAAAAATGTCTGGTGGAAGTAGGATGAAGTTTTCAAGGAATATGTTGTTATGTGAACGTAAAGTATATAACATGGGAACTGATAAATGAAATTTTTTTGAACATGTTTACCGCAACTGTAAACCACAATTTCCTGTAAAGAAATATTTATAATTCTCCTTTGTTTAAAATATAAGACCATCCTTGTAAAACCGTCAATCTTTATATTAAATTTCATTAGGATTCTTTGAGCCGTCGAGTCGTGAAAAGGTGACAGACAGACATCATTTAACATTTATAATATTAAAATGGATTTTCTATACAGGCAAATCGTTATCGTTAAATTTCTATGTTTCCTGAAACTCAAATAATATTGTTACTAAAATATTTACTTATTAATTTTATTTTAATAAGCGGAATAGTTTATTCATGTTGATAACCAGTTGATTGAACTTTGTCATTGACTTAAATGTTATCACGAAATTTGCATTGTCTGCACGTTATTTTTTAAACTTGAATATAATCGGTTAGATCTCATAAGATTAGATCTTTTGTTGTTATGTGTTCATATAATTTCCAACAGTATCAACTGTTATTCGCGTAAACTGTGTAAGTAATTATATCAGCTATTCTTGAGTTTGGAAACTATTTGTATTTAATTTAAAGAGGTTCTTTTTACTGTATTGACTTTAGACTTTGTATGAAGTCATCGGTGTAGATACTATTTCACTCTATTTGGAGGCTGTGTTTCGTTTGACCGGTGACAAATTGCGGTAAAATTACAGGATAAGGGGGCATGGCATAGCCCTTTAGAATGACAATGCTTTAACCTCACAATCATCACAAATGATAACGTGATATCCATAATACTGTTTATGTGAATTAGACACTTAGGATCAGGTGGGCTGTTGCTTGCTAGCGAATGGCTGAACTTCGGTCACATAAGAAAAGGTAAATCAAAACATATTACTCACCTAGTTTGCAACCTACACATTTTAACGAAGGTAAAAAGTAGAAGTGGATTAATATATACCTGGTAGATCAGCTTTAGTCAGCAAAAAAAATCCCTGATGGGTCAAGGCTGTAGTTGCATAAATGTAAGGTTAGTTTGTGGCCATGTCAAGGGCACGTTAAAAAAAATGGTCAGTTTTTAAGTGGTATAATGATGTGCTATGATCAATGCTAAATGATATACGACGAAAGCTGATAAGGCAGTACTGGACAGTCAATAATAAAAGGATGGTATAGTTGAATCTTAATTTTTATTTTATCTATTGTAATAATAATATGTATTATTATTATAATTATTAGTCACCTTCGTCTGCGTCACATTTTCCTGATTTTGGCCTTGGATTTGGATTGGATTTGGATTTTTATTTTCATTTTTCATTGAAACTCTGTTCATATTAGACGTAGCGTGATGTTATACATTACATCACGCTACGTCTAATATGAGCAGAGTAGCCTTAAATCCTTTCTTGATAAATGGGCTATCCAACTCTAGAGATATTTTAATTTCGGCCCAGGAGTTCTTGAGATTAGGGCATTTAATCAAACATACTCTTAACCGTTATGAAATAAGTATAGATAGAAATATTATATTATTTTTTGTTTATAAAGTATAATCCAAGAAGTAATTTAATATTTTTTTATTAGAAAAGTAACATTTTCGTGATACTTATTGTATAGCATAGCATTAATCACATTCAGACTATATAGATATATTCGTCAATAACACAATGTGTATCGCTGTGGAACGTATCGAGTAACAGTGATCGAGTAAATCGATACAAAATATCGAGTTCCATCCGATCTGGCATTAGTTGGTGCGCCACTTTCACCATCCCACTGTACGTGGTAAGGGCTTTGATTTATGTTGCTATAAACCATTCTAGACTGGTTAGTAGTATGGTAGCGACCTATTTATAATGTACATTGTAGAATTGTTGGGTAATAATATAACTGCAGTGAATGGAGTTTCATTTGAAATATGGAAACGACTATGGATCAGTAGATAGAATTTACCTTACGCTCGATCAGTTATGAATAAAATAAAATGAAATCCATTATCAGAATCAAAAATTTATAAGGAAGTTTGTATTTAATATACATATGATACTGTTGACATAGTGTTAAAAATGTACAAATAATAGGATTGACAGGCATTGACAGATAAGACAAAAAACAAAATACTTTTTATTAACTTTAACCTACTGTAAAATTGCTTATGAGTTTAATGTACTTGTCAAGGTAGGTCCTAAAAAGGACTTGTATCCAGAGCCATAAAACGTAATAAATAAAAAAGTTTGTTTTCACTTATTTTAATTTCAAAATGTAGGCCAGTGTTGACTATGTCTCCTTATTCCCTCATAATATAAGCTAGTCAATTGCAAAAGTCTTCAAGTGTACAGCTGAAGATGTTTTCGACTCATTGGTGATGAGACAATCAGTCGGAATAGAATCGTTATTTGTTAGATATGGAAGTATTTGTATGTATTGTTATTTGTATTAACTATACACTAGAAGTAGTCCCTGACTTGCTCTGTGTGACATATAAGTATGATTTCCTCTTCAAATTAATACAACGACAATTATTGAGTAAACATACAAACTCACTTTCATATTTATATAATATTTAATTATAGCACCTATGAATTTGTCATGATATACGCGGAAACAAACGAAACGACTAAAACTATTAAGTAAATAGATTGATCAAGTTCTTTACGATAATTTCGAGTTACATTCTCACAACTAGTTCTATTATTACATTCAGTTACAGTCTCATTGCAATTCATAAGTTCAGTGTAATTCATCCATAATGTAAGGACTCATTACAATAGCTTGAAAAAAAAATATTACCATCATATTATATAATGGTATACCAAATAACTTTTGCATATTAAAACTGAGTGTTGCCTACAGAGTTAGCTCTAGATTATCTAAATCTCTATATACTGTCAAAAGGAATGCATAAAACTGTAAAAAAAAAACATATATACGAATAAACCATGTTTAACAATTTTGTATAGACAACGTGCTTGGTTTTAAAAACAAAATATTGTAATATTATGCCAAAAATTATTTAGCGGAATAAAAAATCAGTACAGATTCAGAAAACTTTAGTAACCACTATATTGTACCAATGAGTATCTTGTTCAGTACAATAATATAATATTAATAATAATTTTTAAGATCCGGTCAGTGCAATTCAGAAACAAAGTTTGGCCACCAAATCAGCTATACATATAGCACCTATATATAGAACTAGACTAGTGCTAAAATCACAAAGATTATGTTTTATCAGGTGCCTTCTGTCTTATTGCACTCGTACTAACATTGCATATTGTCAATAAGCGCACAGCCTAGCCTAACACTAGGGCTAAAAATATAAATTTAGAGTATAAATTGTATAAGATTTAGTTATATTGACTATATACTGTGGAGAATTTACATGAGAAATTTATATACATATCTTTATTCGCAGCGAACTCAGTAAATAAAGAACAATATTGATGCAAACATATATTGTAATGAACATAAGTATTTGTATTTCCGCAATGGTTAGAAAAATTTGGGAGTCTACTGAATCATTACACCACTGAGGCATACGTAGTAAACACCCAAATATTTGTATCCTGCGAGAATCGAACTCGCGACAATGCGAAGAAAGACAATGTACTAAATCTATTTGCCACCGAGGCCGTCGATAATAATAGACTCTTGCTTAATATACTATTGATTGATACTGAATAGTGAGAATAAAATATATATCCCACTTTAAATTAATGGCATTCACATTAGTGGTTCTATAAGCTGTTGGGTGTGGTGTTTTAAACAAGGCGTCGGAACTAATGGAAAGTGCTAGTAGTCACTTTAATAGATACTTATATAAATAACGGCTTTTAATATTATTTAATTTATTGTACTGTAGTATAAGCTTTTATTTCCACCACCCAACAATGCCTCTCAGTCATTCAAAGATTCAGGAAGAAATTCCTCATTTAGTATTATGTCATGTCATTCCTCTCCTTCCTTTGTAATGAGTCTGCCTTTGTACTAAATTTATTTTTAACATTGTGATGTCTTTTTATATTAAGATTTACTATTTTTATATTAATGTTTACTATGCAAATAGACGTTTTATAAGTAGTATATGTAAATTATTTTTATTCGTGTTTAGTATTGCCACAGATAATATAATATTTATTTATTTCTACGCCTTTTTTTATTTCTCTAGTTCATTCTAGCGCTATCTACCACATTATGTCTTCTCTAACCAAAGGTTGTCTGGAAGTGATTGCTTATGTGATAAGACCACCTTTTGTACCTTATTACTTCTGTTTATGTTCTTTGTAATTTACTTCTGGTGTAACAATGAGTAAATAAATAAATAAACAATAATTTTATATATTATTTTATTTCTAAGTTATTGTTATTCTAAGACTGTCAGCCAAATAGAAATTGTACAAAAATGCATTATAGGGCATTGAAATGGAGGTGGAGAGGAAGGTATGGAGGCATGATATCCTAATCCTCAGGTACCCGTTTCAGGCGTCACATTGATTCGGGTATGAACGTGATGTTTATACTGTATATAATAGGCGACGTTACCACGTCACCAAGCTGCCCGTCAGCTGGTTGGCCATTCCAGTTAGAAAATAATCAGTGATTGCAGATGTAGGGTCAGCCCTATCATTGCTGAAACTAGTTTTGTACGAATGGAAAGCGTAGTGATGTCGGTCATGCGATACATAATTTACCAGAGAGATGAGCGTTTTCGGACCACGTGCACGATTCGCGAAATTATTCACTTGTTTTCTCTAAAATTCTAGGTGTACTTACATAGTGTTTGATGAGATACGTTTTTTATGTAATTCTGATATTGTATAACTTTCTTTTCGTTGATATAAAAATAACAGAAAAGTTTTATTGCATACCGACTTCTTCTAGATTTGTTTTGGTACCTATATTCGTCTATCGTGATTTATGAGATAACATATTTGATTTAAATTGTAAATATATGCATTTAATTAATAAATCATATACATATTTGTAAAATTTATTTATTATATTTGGGATAATGAAACCTAATAAAATAGAAGCAGTTGCATACACGTTTTGATCCACTATCAATTATTTAAAGATTTCATAGATAATATTAATATTGTTATATTTATTTTTATAAAAACGATAAACTCAAGTTTGAATACTGAGTATGTATATTGGTGAATAGCCCATACTAAAACAGTACCTTTTATATAGTTTTTCTCTAGTATTTTACATAAATGCATCGGTACCACAATACCTATAGTTAAAGATACTGCCGTCAGTTAAGATTTTGAATTTTATAATTCCAACAATATTGAGTGGCATAAATAAAAATTTCCTGTCTGTTTCGAACATATGCCCATGAAATAGTAAACTACTGGCTAAGTATTTAAGTTAACTATTTACAGTAGAGTTCAAATGTTATTGTTTGATTGGAACTTGATTGGCCCCTTGAAATCATCACAAGTTAACAATGTTGGGTCAACAGCAATTGAAACGCACAATAGTTCAATCGAGATACATCAAAATATAACAATGAGGGCAGTTAAGACTGCTTTGAGATTTGGAAACATTGCAACACACCTTGAGCAATGTTAAGCTCTTTTGAAAAGGTAGTGTGGCATTTTGATAAGGTCATAGGGTATCAAAAATTTTACTGTATAAAAAATAAAGCTAATTAAATATCCATTATACTGCTGATCAAATAGAAATATCAGTCATGATCAAACCAGTTAGTGCGCTGTGTCATTCCACAATTGGGCGTTCGCGAGAGGAACCTATTCTGAACCAGTATTGTGCTACCATTTAGGTTCTAAAGTGTGAAATTACCAGCCATGCGGTGACTAACATCGTGATACCTAGTGAACCAATTTATCAATATAGTCCTTACAATACCAATAGAATACGAAACTTGTTCTGCGAGTGAGAACTCAATTTTGTTTGAAATATTGGGATGATTATCATACTTTGTAATCTATGGTAAAAGAAGATAGTCAGTTTGGAAGTGCTTCTTCCTATAGATGATCTAAGTACTCATGACGTTGGACTGGCATCTTATCACTTATAGTTAGGGGTGAATGAAGAAATTGTTTCCAATAAGACTTTTAATGTCAAATTTTATACATTCAGAGATTGAATCGAGAGTATTGTATTTTGTTGACTGACTGATGTGTTTGTGTATTTAATTTTAGTTTTGTTGTTAATATTACTGTGCTTTGTGCATGTGTATGCCTTAAACGTAAATAAAAAAATATCTATCTATCTATATATATGTATATATGGGGATACAAATTTCCCAATTTTAGACGGATACACATATGTAACAAGGTCAAAGGTTTGTCCAACCTTCCAGTATCGACAGAAAGAACGTCACAAGATAAAGTTTACGAGCCCTTTTGTTATATAATTAAACGATATTTAATTGTTGATCGAATTAGAGCGGGAGAATACGTCTCCATAAATGGACGGAAGTAGTTAACGATGACAGATAGTAAGTGGTCGTCTCGATTGTGACATATTGTCTTACGTGCTAGCGTTATGCACTCGCTCTATTTAATTAGTATTTACACACCGTTTACTACAGTTGAAGTGTCTTATTGATTGCAATATTGAGTGTTGTTTGTTAATTGTAGATGAAACGACATGAAACGTGCTAGTACGAAAAAGAAAGATAGTAAAAGATTTCATTTCTCGCTACGCAAAAAGGATTTAGCAGCTAGCGTAAGTGTCTAACATACCTAATTAACTAAATAGATAGATATTTATCCTTATCAATTTATTTGTATAGATATCGTATATATACCTACTCGTAGGTATGATGTATTTACAGAGATGTATTGTTTTCTGAAACGGTTAATACTGACGAAATATTGTACAGTATTTTTCTGTCGTATTATTTTTCAAAGTTCATCATTTATTTTTATCATAACTATTGTTAACTGTAACGTATACAGTGATATATCTTTTACAAATATTTGATAAATGACGTTTAGGAATTGCAATATCAAAATTATGCAATGCAATATTAATCGCGAGATAATATAATGGTACAAAATAGCCGAGTTTAGTGTTAAATATCGTAGATGTTAGGGTTATTAATAAAGGCAATGTCTTTATGTTCATAAATAAAATTGTACTGGCGCCCGAGACGTCCACTGCAGTGAAGTCATCGACGGAAATAATGCTCCTTATGAGCTCCTTATTAGTGTTTTAAGGACTTGAGGGTTAACACTTACAATAATTTGTTTAAAATAATAAAACAGTCGAATATTGGGATTTCTTTATATATTCATACTGTAAGAAACATTGTGCATTATAATATTGATAACAAGTTTAAAGAATATCAAAATGTTATATTACAGAATTTTTGAAGATGCTCTTCTACTATTACATATTCTGTATCTGTACTTAATCTTAAACGTATAGAAAAGATTTAATACATATTGTATTTGCAAATCACAATTTTTTGTAAAAAATCTGTCGTGATGCCTTAGATATAAGATTATATGGTGTGGAAATGGGTAAGGCGTAGTATTTTAGAATCAAATGCAGATAAATCAATATATTTTCAGGCATAAATAATGATTGATTGCATATACATAGTTATCGTAGTTTCCTGTGAAACACAACTATGTATAATATACTTATCCAATGCTTTGCGCTTTTCCTCGGAAAACACCCTATGGAAACATTTTAAGAGTGAAACCGTAAAATATAATTCATGTAAGCTGTATGGGAATTTAATACTATTCAGTTTGAGCTGAGGCGCTGTAACAATCACGCAGCACTCACCCTGAAGAAGTTTTTTTACAAATTAACATCCAATTAGAATTCAATATTTATAGTTAAGATAGTCATTGTCTGTCTGATCAGCTAATAATATAAATTGTAACATGCAGCTCGTGTTTATTTGAGATGTCTTTACTAGTCAACCCTGAGCGAGGAGACATGTTGACAGTTCGAAGAATTGTCTGAGGAGCCGCCCAAAGGTCGAAATTGTGCAATGACTCACAAGTGGTTTATTTAATATTTATCTCTTATGTGACACTGACAACTATCATTGTTTAATGTAATATAATATATAGAGTTACACGCGTCTTTGTCTGCTTTTTTTGGATAACAGATAGCTTGTATGTGTCTCCTTGATACAATGTATCTAATACCAAATTTAATTACGATCAATACTCCAGTTTTTTCATGAAAAGGCAACAAATAGACATGTAGACTTAGACGTAATCTGATATTTAAAATATTAATATACATTCAATTGCTTTTTAATGCAATATTGAATAATGAACACTTTAAATAAAGAATATGTAGGTATATTCTTTTATCTGTGCAACTAGTTAATTTGTGCTGTCGTTGACTTTGACAGATAATCATATTCGTCTTAAATTACTATACAATTATGTTTATGGGCGTTAATATTCCCTGAGAGGTTAATATGGTTAATAGCCTCCAAATATTAAATTGGAAATGATTTTTATAGGCTTTGGTACATTTGTGCCTATTGTCTTAGTACATATAAAAATAAGATAAAATGAAATTCTTTATTAAGATAAAATAACTTATGAACGCAAATAAAAGTTTTATCTATCTATCTATCCGTGTATCTATATGACAGAGCGGATTTCGGTTTTCAGAGTTTACTGTCACTTTTCATAAATTTAATATTTTTTACTACATAAATAATTATGAAATGAATTTTTTAAGATAACTCATAAAATAAATAAATTTTATGTGTACAGTATCTTATTAACTGCATTTTAAAATTATTTCAAGTTTCACATGTTCGTTTACTTTCTGATTGCCGAAAATAAAGTCATATAGTTAATTGAATTTGTATGAATACATATACAACATTATTGTTAATTATACCAACGAGATAAAATGTTACGTTGATGTTCAATTACTTATTATATCCATTGTACATAATGAATATTCGTCTGTCTGACATTATTCGATTGCTTGTTGCCATATTGGGTTACATTTGCTTTACTATTTTTGGAAGTCACTCATTGCTTTCTTCCTCGTTTATTTTTAGCATTGTCAATGTATTTAAATTGAGAGGTCCGGTTTCGAACTTTCGGATTTTTTTTCCGCAGGTACATGAACTGTGTTTTTGCGTAGTTTAATATACATTATTTATTATCAAGTGTGTTGAATAATATATTTTTTATATGTTAATATTATAAACGCGGAAGCGTGTCTATGTGTCTGTTTGTTAACTTTTTAGACAATGGAATGGATTTTAACTAAGTTGGGTGTTAAGACAGGAGATAGGTTATAATTAAAAAAAAAGCAGAAACCTAATTTAGATATTTGATATAAATATCTGAAATTGATTTCTATTTAAATTAGAATTAAGGTCTTACTAATAAGTTGACGAATCGACATTTATTTGGATTCGTATATAAAAGATTTTTGTATTAAAATGATCTTATCTCCATGAAAAACTTGTTCAAGTTGTTTCTTGTCTATATATCTTTACAACGTTACTATCTCAGAGCTAGATACATTTGATTAATTAAAAAAAATCTTGTTCTAGAATGATGAGCCGCCGGAGATTACATACTGCGTGGTGGGCGGCGAGGGTGGTCTGGCACTGCAGGCCGTCACACCCACGCACCCCATGCCCCCACAAGAGGAGTTGGACGCTAAGTTTGCCGAGCTGGTGGTAAGTGTCATTGAACTTTGTAGTACATAGAGAAGGCGCGTCTTAAAACAGGAGAGCACGAGACTCAATTTGACCCTTAATTTTTTGTTTACTATGTGTAATTACGTAGTGTGTGCGAATTATATGTACTCGTATACTAACTGCCCATCCTGCAACCGCAAACGTATGCTAACATATATAAATTTAAACCGAATCTTCTCTTTATGTGTATGGAGATTTTTATATCTATTTATTTTCCGTATGATTGATCCGTGTTACCTGCCCGCGCCTTCGTCCCGTCGTGAAATTTAACTTTTTAAATGAAAGTAGATAAAGTTTCTTTGATAAAAGTAGCATAAATTACTCCTATAACATTTGCTATCTGAGAATGAAAGTTTCGTCAAAATCGGTTCAGCCGTTTCAGAGATTAGCAACAACAAACTGAAACAGTCGGCAAACATTTTATTAATAAAATTTTTGACGTATTTAGTGAAAAGCTGTTAATTTGATATTACAAACGGATACAACAATTTTATTTATTTGTATTGATTACGTACTGACGAAAGCTTAAGAACTCAACTTTGATAGCTAGCTTACTTGAATAATGAGCGTACTTATCCACTTATTGAAATAATAAGTACGACTTACAGATTCAGTTTGTAAATTTCAATACCAATTGACTAAGACTCGAACTTATTAAAATATTAATGTTTCTTTAATATGGATGTGGACTAATTTAAAAAGATATTTAATACTTTTTCATTATACTTCTGGACTATATCGTTCTGATGTAACGTTTTAAAAGCAAATATACGAGTAGAGTTGTTCCTAGTGCCTATTTATGTCCGTGTCTTGAAACCTCGAGACCTGTGGGAGATGGCATTTTAATTATTACAATGAGAGAGCCTATGTATAACAATTACTACTTTACCAAGAAGAACCGTGTGTGGGTGGGAATACTGGATCTTATTTAGTTTGTTGACGGTGCTTTAGTAGTTTACCGCAACGCTGGTGGCGGGTTCGATTCCACGCAATACGCAAACATTTGTAGTCATAAGTTTGTTTATCTATATTGCTCTATCTGTCTTCTATGCATATTAACAAGATGGCGCTGTGCGTCTTTTCCTGGGTTGTTATTATTGCGTTAAATGCCATTCGTTTATTCGACTTTTCATGTAAACTGTACATAAGTGGATGGATGAGTTACGTGTGATAGTGTACGTAAACATTGTTACGACGAAAGTGAATTACGGGTGCAATCGGTTTGGCGTCAATGAACTTGATAAACTCTCTGTTTTATCGTTTCATCCGCAGCGAAGTTATAATGAATTATGACAGTCATTATCTTATATTGCAATCAATAATGTATTCATATTTATTTGTAACAAAGTATAATACCAATTTATTGGAGATATACATTCTATGATTAATTGATTACATGTTTGAAAATACTAACGAGAATAATATATAAACTGCACTAAGCAGGGACTGTTGTTAAAAATATTTTGTTTGTATTCTGTTGTTATTTATTTGTCATGTTCAAATAAAAAAATATTGTAATAGGTACTATAACTTCAATACAATATGTAACTATATTATTGAGATACAAGAGAGCTTCTGCAAGATGGGCAAATTTCATAAGGTTGAAATCCTTTAGTTGTGAAAACGTAACAGGCAGACAGACAGTTAAACACGCTCTTATTTATATTATTAGTAGGTTTCGTATTTATAATATGCGAAGTAATGGTTCATAGTAATTATTTGAAATAACTAAATAAGTAATGGACATCTCAAAACATAAAACGACCAGCTTTCATGATATTCTGATCTGGTAGTTAAACGCTAGTCTGCGTTCCCATCATTCACTCGTAGTGTAGCGACGTAATTTCATCATTGTTGTACGAAGTGCATTTCTGTTTTGTTACACAACTAACTACTTTAATCTGTTACTATTATCTCACAAAAGAATGCTTTAATCGCAACGTTTACATGTTTTGCTTATAATGAGTAGTACTACATTTAGATAAAATATGCATTCAAATCTTACATAGATATTTAAAGTATAGTCTTCTATAATTTCGATATTTTGTTTTAATTAATATTGTACACCTTTAGTGAATTATTAAATTAATTGAAAATAACCTGATTTAGATAATGTTTATTAGTTAGCTAAATTGCGAGCATCATCGTGGAGATCTTTGGGGGAGGCCTTTGTTCAGCAGTGAAACTCTTGCGGACTGAAATGATGATCATGATAACTAAGTAGTTATTTTTATTTAGTTTTCTAACTGTGAGTGAGCTCGAGATAAGAGAAATTCTAATTTTAAGTCTTCTATGATTTTCTCAAAACACTATATGGAAGTAGTACCTACTATTTAAGTACCACATTTCTGTATCTACTAATATATTAACGTATACTAATTTTTATAATACTCTTTTGTAATAAAAAAATATAACATTCATAAAAAATGTGATTAAGTTGGGCTTATCTCTGAAAGAGATTATCAATGTGTACTAATTACTGAAATTATTAAATTTTTAACATCTACTTTTAAAAATCTTTACAATCTATCCGAGGGTACTGTTTAGTCACATGTACTTACATTTATCTTGAATATAACATTTGAATTTATAGACTACTTTCACAGTAGTATATTGGCAGCCCTATCCGCAACGTGCTATGCGGATAGGGCTGCCAATATACTGTTGTGAAATATTTATAATACCTAAAAGGATATACCAAAATTATAATTAATTATTATTCCGTTAGTTTTATACGCAAATAAGGACTATTTGCGTATAAAATTAACGGAACTATATTTATAAAATAGATAAGTTCATATAATTATCGTATTACGTGGTAATATTGTTCTATTTAATTGAAATGTATAATCTCTGTATGATCACTCGTAATACTCCTAATCAGAAAACGAAAGTTAAGATCAAAGACATATAAAAAAGATTATACATATAGACTGAATTTAATTGAAGATATATACTGATAAATCATTCATTTTTTGTTTTCATAAGAGAAACGAGAGCATAGAAAATTCATTCTCCTTTTTATATTTAGGCATAATGCGCTATTTTTCTACACACACATAAACGATAGTTTGACCAAAACCGATTTGCCAAAATAGATCTAATAAAATCTAAGAAAACTATACTATATAACTTTTTTAAAGTACCTACTGACGGTAATGTATTTTATGGACTGACCTTGCAACGAGAATAAGAGCAGCATTAATTATTTAAATTTAATTTATATTCAATACTTCTATCCTGTTTATAATGTAATTAATCTTCCTTAAATAACAATTATGTAATTAGATGTGAAATGCAAATAAGTAGGTATTTCTTAAAGATTAATTAAGAGCATGGATGGTTACGTAAATGTATCTATCCTGTTTATTATTAATAGTTAAATTTATGACAATATGTAAATTTATTATACATCATGATATAAAAATTATATAACTTAATTACGTTGTATTTTATGGAACCATAATATGTCTAAATAAAGTCTGGTTCTCAATATTTATTATCATTCTCATCCGTGCATTAATGAAAAGACAATAAAACAAATCAATTCTATATCTAAATTCGCGTCTCGAGGATATTTAGGAAATTGCAATAATTATGAGAAAAAAATAAATATGAATGAAAAATAAAATATTAATATTATATAACTATAATATTTATATTAATAGTGAATTCATTAATTCGTTCAAAAACCAGAGAAGTCACAACAAAGAGTTCATATTACGAGAGTATTTCACTCTCGTAATATGAACATGTTACGCTGACCCCTAATAAATGAACAAGAAAGAAGCAGATTATGATACAGTGAATTTATTTCGTATACAGTTAATTATTTTTTGTTTTTAGAATTTGTTGTTGAAGTAGTAAAATATACAGAAATAATACTGTTATTTGTATTATTTTTGTGAACAATTAGTTTTGTTAAATTTCGTCAGACTTGTAATCTTACCTGAGGTGAGTACCAGATAACAAGTATCGAATACGATTGGCAAGTGACGTTTAATTTGATTTAGTACTCGCCGCTGGCTCTGAAATTACATTCTCGTTACTTCGAAATGTATATAAGTAATTTCATCGTATTTATGGTTTGTAATCATAAATGGACAATCTATAAATACTATAATTTTAAAGATATCTTATATATCGTTATTATTTTTGTAATGTAACTAGTTGATGCCTGATATTTTATCTACATGAACCATATAAGGATGTCACAATTGAATGTTCTGAGGCTTTAACTTTTAGGATTTTCTTTGTCAAATATTATCTAGAACAGGACCAACGATGAGACATTCACTTTCACGTTTATTGATTACAAGCTTCCTTATAATTATAGATTAGATTATGACTTGTAACGTATTATTAAAAGACAAAATCAATTAACTTCTGTTATCATTAATCAAATAGTTTACAAATTGGTCATTAAGTGCAAAGTAAATTGCTATTACCTGTCATTATCATTTTAATACTAATAAAGTTTGTAACTGTCTCTACTTATGTCCATTACTGGGTAATAATTATCATCTCACCTATTTTAGCTATAAACTAGCATTTTTTTATTTACAATAAGATACTCGTACTAAGGCAAAATAGCCTCTGAAATTTCGTGCCTGTCTGTAATAAGTTTTTTCAGCTATCGAATCTGTACTCTTGAATTACCTTCCTATTTTTTCATGAGATAGTCATTGTTACGTAAGGGTCACCTATTAGGCCGTACTACTTAGTCTACTATATACTGCATTATAAATAAATGCTTTCTGCATCTAATAAATAGGATTTTTACTGTTATTTCGTAGTATTAACAAGATTTCTAGTAGCAATGGTTCGACTTTATTTTCATTTTACTTGATTAAGATATTAACTTATCAACTCATAAAAGGTTTATATAGTCCAACAGTATTTAATTAACCGGCCAATCAAAAGTTAATGGTGATAAACTTTGAGATAAAAGGAAATTTCACTTGCATTGAAACTAGTTC